TTTTTAAATTAAGATTAATTTAAATTTAGAATGTGGTTAGCCTAGTTGCAATAATTAGGTGTCTCACTCATTCCACTGAGTTTATTAGAAGCAGAAGCAGACCTTAGATCCTGGGTAATTCATCAGGGCGTGTGTGTTGTTGTGGGAAGACCCATCCATGACCAAAGCAGAAATCGGTGGTCCTTCCTCTGTATTGACTGACAGTTTCTGCAGAGACCGTCACTGGTGTTGGAAATGTAGTGCCCAACTCCATCTCTCTCACACTGTTTTTGCATTGACATAACTTCATTGACTTCAAAGGAGATACTACTGAGAGATGGATCATACCCTGTGTTGAAGTTAGTGGAGTTACACTGGTGTTACGCCAGTTTAAGATGGAGAGAACTCACTTCCAAAAGTGGGAAAGATGTTTGAAGAATCTGTCAGTTGCCTAAAGTCTTACTGTAGTCATGGGCGAGTTCCTCCATAGCTGAAGTCTAGTGCCTAGAAATGCTGAATTCTATAAAAGTTTTGCAATAGTGTTATATAATATAGTGAGTTTCTCTCATCTGATTGTTTGACAGCTGTAAGATAAGTGCATTCCTTGTGTCTTAGAGGTAGCACTTGTAGGCGTGGTGGGACAGAGGAGAAGAGAAGAGGAGGAGGAGGAAGTGGCCAAGTTCAAGGGAGAATGATTGAATGTGGGTAATTCGGAGGGTTGGGATCTGATCTAAAGCCCATTGAAGTCTTTGGAAAGGCTCCTACTGAGTTCCTTGGAGTTTGGATAATGGTCTTAGTAAGATTTGATTCTTCTCTTAAAAAAAAAAGTTACAGAATGTTGTTGAGCTGTGATTTGAAAAGAACAGGGATTCAGAAAAGGATTTGGGTGTGCAGCGGTAGGAAGGTTGTGCTAGATAGTGGGAGCAATGTAAAAACCTGGAATGTAAAGCTCAGCACTTAGACTCTTTATTGAGGTGAACAAGAGAATTGAGTTAGTTATGAAAACAATGAGGTGAAAGGAGAGTGTTCTTTGTATAGGATGCTACAGGATCCAATAACTGTTCTGGGATATTTGTCAAAACACATAACCCTTGTGTTTGTTTATTGGTTTGTTCTTTATAACTTTGCATTGTCCATTGTTTTCTTGTTGGTAATGTAGAAGCCTTCAAGCATGTGAAAGAGATAAGGGAACTAAGCAAGAGCTTAGGGACAGGGAGATGTATTATGGGGAAAGTGAACATGCTGGTTACAAAGTACTGTCTTCCTTTGTATGACCTATTTATGCTTTAAAAACTAGAAATTAAACCTGCTTTTTTATGGGTCCTTAAAAAACTTCCTTTATTTGAGAATAGAGCTCATGGTTTTATACTCAACTAGAATATTATATTAGATTTTGGACTGGTTAATTCATTTTCTTTAAAGAGAAAGCAAAGTGGTATTGGGGAGGTTTTTATGGTTTAAAATGGATGACTGAACTCATTTACTCATTGTAATTACTCTTTGTGATTAATTGTAAGACAATCAACACTGTAGCCATGAAAAATCAATAGGTAAAACAAAAGCTCTGACTGATATAGGTGGCTAGAGATGAACAGTGAGTAAGTTTTGCAATAAAAATTTTTTAAGTGTGAGGTATAAATCTCTTTAAACTGAACTGTGTTTGATACAGATTTGGCTTCAATAGAAGCGATTTGGGACAAACATATCATTTTACGAATGCATTCAAACTTACAAATACCAGCAGTGAATTTTTTTAGTGATGTCCCTTAGTCTCTTATCAAAGGCTTGTAACTGTTTTTCTTTGGTTTTCGAATATTCACTTCAGTGTCCAATAATTTAATATACAGTCATTTCATATCTGAAAATGTAAGGATAATGAAATGATCAATATTCAGACAGGAAACTCATACATACCACCTTTTCGTTGGCTTTTCTTAGCCCAATCCCTATCTGGTGAGGGGAGGGCCGTATCCAGTGGGAGTAGAAAAAACTTTTAAAACAATTTAATCTGACTTTAAAACATATTCAGTATAGAATGTAAAGACTTCTTTATCTGAAAATAACAGATCAAAATATTTTATTCTAAAACCGGTGACATTATGAGCAGGTGTGTCTTGAGACATTAGATTGACCACAGTTCCTTAACTATTAGACATGTTTGAATAAACCTTATATTACCAGAAGTGAAGAAAACCTTTGTTTTTGTCTTGTGTTTGAAACTGAAAACATTTTTATCATTTAGTTAGTCCACTACCAATCATACATCAGGTTACATGACAGTTTGCATCTAAAGGAAGAACTTTAAGCCTTACAAGGTCTCTGTACATCTCTCCAGAAAGAAATGTCCTTTAATGAGGAAGCAGAAGTTAATGACAGTGTTGCCTGACCCTTTGAGAGTCTGCAGTACCTCAGTCACACAAGATTGGCCCCACTGAGATTGTTTGTATGATTTCAGTTAAGTCCCTTTCACTCTAGTCAGAGATACTCACAACATTAATACGCGCCAGGACTGTTGACTAGATATACTGTGCTTCATTACAGCAGTGAATTCAGTGATGAATTATAGTGTCAAAAGCTAACACATTGAAGAGAAGACAACAGCCAAAGTGGTGGAAAGCCACAGACTCCATATGTAATATAAACCAGCTTGAGCAGACTGCCAGAACCTTGCAGCACCTTCGCTGTAGGACATGGGGCATATCTGTACCACAGACACACTCAACCCCACAATCTTGAAGCCTACGTTTCTCAAATAATTTCAAGTGAATTTGATAAGAGAAGCCAAAATATGGCATGCTCATTAGATACAGAGGTATAACCACATGCAACAAGTAAGATACAAGTTACAAGTCAAAAATACTTGAACTTTTACATTTAAAGATCAATTATAGTGCTGGTGGCAGATGTAATAATTTTGAACAAATTCTGGATCTCCCTTTTTGTCCTATATTTGACACGTAAAATGCAGAGTTTGATTTTTATCTTGTTTTAAACTAGGCTACTAAATGTATTTCTATTGGGGGTATTTATGGTCTGTAGATGCCCAGCCTTGTGCCATGATTAATCAACCTCAAGCTAAGCCTAGTCTGGTTGAGACACAACTTGGACAGAAGGCCTCTAAGGAAAAACCTCTGTGTTACCTGAAGTTGTGTTGTGATACTTTTTTCCTCTGAGACAGTATAGAACCAAGGCCTAGAGTATTTTATTACTTTTGGAGCTGCTATTTTGATTATATAATTGACGTCCTGACCTCTTGTGTTCATTAACAATCTGGTGGCATTTTCTGTAAGAGTTCAGGCCAAATTCCACACATGAGCTTATTAAGGAAAGTAAGTGATCTTAGAGTGAGAGGGCGTACTGTCATGGATTGGAAGCAGGCTATGACAGAAAAGGAAGGGTAGGAATAAATGGTCAGTGTTCATTGTGTCCAGAAGTTAACAGTGGGGTGCCACACAGACCCATACTAGGACCTGTGTGGTTTAATATATTTATCAGTTATCTGGGAATGAACAGTGAGGTGGCAAAATTTGCAAATGATACAGAATTATTTAGGCTAGTCAAGGCTAGAGATGACCATGAGGAACTTCAGAGGGACCTATCCAAGCTAGGTAAAGCACAATGGCAGATGAAGTTCTCAGGTTAACAAGATCAGGGCCATGTGCATTAGAAGAAATATTTTCAGCCATTTAGACAAATTATTGGGTTCTAACTGAACTGTGACTTGGGAAAAAATCCAGTTATCACTGGGGAAAAATAAAGGAAACAAAATTTAGACTGCATAAGTAATGGGATAGAAAATATTATATCATTATTATATAAGGTATGCCATATTCTATTCAGGATTAGAGAAGGGGAAAGACTACCATAAAAAGAGAGATTGAAAAGATTGGGACTGTTTAATTTAAAGAGGTGATGAATATGGCGAGAGATGGCAGAGGTAGACACAATAATGCATGGTATAGAAAAGATAAATCAGATGCTCCTTTTTACCTTATCTCACATTCTAAAAGAAAGAGGACTTTCAAAAAAAAATTGAACATTTAAAGCTAATAAAAGGAAATCATTTTTTGCATAATTAACCTATAGAACTCATTGCCATTAGATATCAGAGTTTAGCAGGATGATAAACAGAATTAGATGTTTCTATGAATGGGAATATCCACAATTGTATTAGCGAAAACATTATTTTAGAAAACATAAACCAGCCACTAACAGATGGAGATTAGGAATAAACTTCCCCTTTGGCAGGCTATTCCATAATGGTTCAATCTGGGGTTTCTTGCACCTCCTTCTGAAAGATCTGGTATTATCTACCGTTAGAGTCAAAATAATAGACAAAAAGTTTGTTTGTTCTGATGGTAGCGCTGGTAGGTTTCACCTCTGACAGTGGCTGCTCCATTCCAAAGTGATCCCTTTGTACATCAAAGTAAATTTGTAAAGAACTTTGCAATCATTTGGAAAATCATTCCATTAAATGTAAAATGTTGTTCATGTTTCAATCTGTTGATTGTAATCATTGCTGTTCAAGGTTTATATTCCAGGGTGAAAACCTGACACTATTGAATTCAGTGGCAAAACTCCCTTTGATTTCAGTAGGGTTGGGATTTCACCCCAGGAATTTTTTTTTAAAGTAATGGGCATATGTCACAGTATCTCACTATTGCCTGTAATGTTGGTGTTTTTACAGTGATTACATGCTAAATGAATGTACCATCAGACTTATTGCTGAAAACTAACTGCGAATCTTAATGGTGTTAAAATGTTTTGGGTTTTTTTAAATGTAAGAATAAGATGGTTTCCTGTTGGCCCTAGAGTCACCCAAAACACTTAAAAATCTCAAACTAGGCCAAGTATGCCATCAGCAAAACAAGAGAATTATTTCTGTAAGAGGCATAGAAAGTTTTTTAATTAAATGATTCCTGATTGTTGTGATAACTGCTTTCTAGCTGTATTTGCATAAAGCAAGATTTTGCAATAAGAGCTAGGTGGTCTAATCTTTACTCTTTTGTTTTTTCTTCTAGGAGAAGCTCTGCCTACCACATCACATCCTAGAAGAAAAGGGCTTGGTAAAAGTGAGCATAACAGTTCAAGCATTACTAGATGTAACCACAATGAAGCAAGCTTTATTCACATGAAACTACTATTTCTGCTGTAATCAGCTCCAATGTGCCATAAAAGTATCAAAACACTGCTCATCTTTTCAAACTGCATTGAAAAATATCCTTCTGCTCCAAAAGAGTATTCCTACATTTCTGAACTGAAATCATCTTGCAGACTATCTGTATATATTGAACTGCAAACTAATAATCATTTTATAAAGCAAACTGGCATTTCACTGCTTTTATAGCTCAGTGTGTACAGCGCCCATTAAAACAGCCACCTCTCTGCCACTTACGTAAGTGTGGAGTACAGCTGCCTGGCAGCAAAATATGTTCATCTTATTAAAGCAAGAGCATCTTCTTCTTTTTTTTTTATCTGAATTTTAACATGTTTTGTTTTTTTGCAGTTGCTTCAGGCCATTGCCTTTTAAAAATATTCAGACAAAATATTTATATAAATATTATTTATTAGTGAGTTGTTATTCATCCTTTGGATGCAAAATATAAATTAGGAAACTGTATTTTATTACTGCTTTTTTGTGGTTAAACACTTTATTTTAATATAAATATTTAGTTATTTTTTATTCTACTTGGTGTGCAGTAATTCTACATCTCCATAATCGTATTTTCTAATATGTATGATAAACAGTAAACAAAAATAGGTGCTTTAAAGAAAAGAACTGTTAGCTGGGATGGCATTCTTTATTTTGGGGTTTGTGGAAGATTAATATAGTTTCTCTGCATTCCAGTTAGTTTCCAACATTCCAGCAGCACTTCCCTCCACCCCCATTAGATTAAATTGGTTGAACTAAAGAGAAGCACACCTTTTTATTTGTATATAGCTGTTATTAAAAAAAAAAAGGAAAGATTAAACTTGAAAACATAAATGTGAACAAATATTTTTGATTGATACTTATTTTACTATGCACAAGACATTAAACTTTTATTACAACAAAATAACTGATGTGCATTAGCATCACGTGTCTTGAAATATAATTTTGCACTGTACTTGGGTAATCTTAAAAGGATACAGCACTACGGAACAAATAAAAAATAGCACAAGAAAGGTGAAAATAGAAAGTTTTCTAGATAGTCAAATATATGTTTGGTTTTTTTAAAAAAGAGAAAATATAATTTCATTATAGTTGTTTTAGGCAGTTGTAAAGACCTGATCCTTCAAATATGGACTACAGGTTGCAGGGCTTACTACTGTGAGCGGTCTCATTGTAGTTAATGTACTTCCGTGGGATTTCTCATCTTACTACGCACACTGCCCTGTAGTGAGTGTTTGCAGGATCAGACCCCTTGTCCCAATTCAGCAGTAGGAAATAAAGTTTTTTTCGTTACTTTTAATCTCAAAAGGAGGTTTTAAAGCTTAATTTATTGTTCAGTCATTGTCAGACACGTATTTTAGGTAGAAAAGTTCTAGCACAGTGATTTTCACAACCTTTTGAACATCCATTTTTTGGTATGGAAATCTAGTGATGTAAGTAATTTAGGCAAACAAGACAGGGATGTAGCATGTGGTAAAAAGGATGGCTGTTAGGGGTCTATGTTACATTTAAGGAAGGAGAGTTTGAAATGCATTACAGCAAAAGTGAGACAATGTAGAGGGCAAATTAAATAGAGAAAGAGGCTATGGAGAGAGAAAAAACAACCTGTTTGAAAGAATGTTGACACTTGTCACAATATTGCATAATCTAGGCAGAGTGATATGCGTGTTCACACAGAAAGACACTGCATTTAAAAAACCACCAGTATTCCAATGAATTAATTTTTAATCCTGAATATATACAGTGTTTGAATGCAGACCTTGTATTTTTGACATCACAGATTATGGTACACATTGACAACAATCTGTTGGGGGCGGGGAAATGTGAACTCAAAGACAATATAATGACACATACAGTATGCATGGAATATTCAGTTATTCCAACCAAAGCAAAAGAGGGAACATTGACTTACATTGCAATTTTGACTGGCAGCTAGCATATGGTTTCCTATCAAATGTATTGTGCACTTTAACACTAAATTAAAATGTATTTTAATATTTTACAGAGCTGCACAAATACCTGTTTTGTCAAACAGCATGAACAATGTAAAGAAAATAGGTTTTCAACTCAGAGTATATCAAACTTTAAAAGCATTCAAAAATTGACTATATAAATAGGAATATTGATTGCTGCATCGAGGGGTAAAATGCAGGTTCCTGAGTATTTTTTTTACAATGTATATATGGCAACATGAAGCTTTGTAATTATTATTTTGACAAATCCTGTTTTTTTCATCAGTAAAATTTGTTTTTCTCCTAGTAGTGACTTTCAGTATTTGCTTAAAGTTGGCTGTAAATAGCGCTAAATATTTTGTAATATGGCTTTTTTTATGCAATCTTAACCTGTATGGCTAAAAAGAGAATTTCATGAATCTTTGTACACTTTATATGTGCAATAAAAAATGCATGGCCTCCTAACAATACCATAAACAGTGAACATTGTGTATATAGTGCAAACTTTACTGTAGCTGCAATTAAATCATTTTATTTGTATTCATTTACTCTCCTGTGACTGAGAATTTGTACAATAAATCTATAGTTGTTGGAGGAAATCAGAAGCAAGTAAAAGAAGCAAAATGCCTTTTTTTTTTTTTTTTTTTTAGAAACCAAAGTTCAAGCCAGACCTAAGTAAAGGCCCTTTGCTCTTTCAGAATCTGTTTCTCCAGACAAGTTGCTAGAAACCCCCCCCCCCCCCTCCCCCCAATACACACATGCAAATAGACAGTTGTAATGTTTGGGTTGTTCTGGGTGTGTTCTTATAGCATAGCTGTATTTCACTGTAAAAGCTTTCTTTGATGCATTCTGTGCTGAGAGAACAGCAAAATCTATGTTCCTATCTTACTTCTCTGCTTAAATCAGTCAACACCTTAACTGGGTTATTTTATGATCCTCCTCCAGTTTCTAGTTTATTTGCCCACAGTTTGGGGCAGTAGAGCTGTGGGAAAAAAATACAGGAATCTATCTCTGTGGGATTAAAGGTAGAAACGTATTTGATTGTGATTACAGACCTGCAACTACCCACTAAAAAGAAAGTGTATGATAAGGAAAATAATTTTACCTTTTGTCCTCCAAATTCAAATAGCCTCTACAGCTGCATATGTTTTATTGTAGCATGTGTGTTGCTCTGTACAGCAGGGTAAAACAGGTCTCTTTCCTGAAGACTTTACAATCCACGGCCTGAGGCCCTAAAACTACCCTGAGTAGTGCCCTTGATTTTGGTGGTAAGCGCTGGGCTCTAAATTGGACAGACAAGACAGTGAATATTGACACCACAGTCAGTGGCTAGAGAAAGGAGACGAGGATGTAAACAATAGGAAGGCAGGACTCCAGGAAAGCAGAATGTCTCCATTGTTCTACAAACAGGGACAAAGGTACGGAGTAATGTGTTACAGCAGCTGCATTAACGAGAAATGGGCAGTGTATAAGCCTGGAGGCCTGCAGAGGTGAATTTCTATGGGATCAGTCTTAAAGATAAACAACCTTTTTGCTGAACTAGCTATTCAGCTTTGTTGCTGAATCAAGGATTCTGTATTTCTGCTGCAGGAGTTGATGGCATCACAAATGGTAGAGCCCCAGTGCTATTTGTCACGTCCGTTATTGCAAGGTAACCAAATCTTGGCAGGAAGAAGCGAGGTCAGCGTGAAGAATGGACAGTGTTTCAGTGGTATGAGAATGAGAGGTATCCAATTCCCCAAAACCTGCCTTCCCAATGACTTCAACTGGTAGCCAAAGGAGCAAGACATTTTATTGCTGTCATGGAGCTGGGACTTGTGTACGAATCCAGCTTCTTTCAGAGTTAGTTTTATAAAATCTCCTCTGCTGTGCAGTGCTCTAAAACAATACCTCATAGGAACGAGCCCCTTTAAAACGTCGTCATTCACTTGCACTGCCTCTGAAAATCAGCTCTAAAAGAAAGTATCAGACTCATCACTGCTGCTAAGTTTTGTCAGCAAAGCAAACTTGCTCTAGGATAGTAAGTGATTCCGCATTCTTAATAGAAAAGGCAACAGGTATTTTCTGTATCCAAACTTGTATATGGGCTAGTGTTTCAACATGGAAGCTGATATTGTAATAGATCTCTTGCTGGAAAGTAAATTAAGACTCAGGCAGGAGCTGCATTTCCTTATCACCCACAGAACTATGAGATTTTAAAAATAGACCTTGTAAATGTAACAAATACGAGCCTGCTTTTCTCAGAGGCTGGTGGTGATCTGCATTTGCTACCACTAACCCTACCATTGTTAAATGATCCTGTTTAATATTTTATTATATTTAGGATACATTAATGATGTCATCTTCTTTAAAAAAGCATACAGGGAGTAAAATCTTAAATTTTACTTCAAAGGAAATGCCACAACTTTTCACATACCTTACAGCACCCAAATGCCTGGCACTTGTTACTGTAGAATGATAAATGGCTGTTGAGATACTAGTAGGAATTCTATACCTGTTAAAATGGTTTCTGCTTAGTTGCATGCATAGAGAGGTTATAATGGAAATCCCCTCTGGATGGCACATTCTGATTTGAAGCTCTCTAGCTTTCACTGAAAAATTAACTTCGCGCTCACTGAGATGAACGTCGTACAAATTTCAAACGAGGTTAAATTAACTGTTTGCAGAGTCCCATGGCAGTGCTATCATTCCTTTTGTACAGATATAGAAACTGCAACAAAGAGACTGTGTGATTTACCCCTGCAATACCGTCAGTGGCGTAAAGAGTCCTGGCTCCCAGCGCCACAAGGGTACAGATAAAATACAGGCAGTCCTCAGACTTACGAAAAGATGGGTTCCTGAAAATCGCATCTTAAGTTGAAAACATAACTTGAATTTCCCATAGGAACGTCAGATCGAGTGTTGTAAAGTCAAAACGTGACAATTTATAAACATTGTGCTGTTTGTCATAAGTCAAGGGCTGCCTGTAATGCCCAAAAGATAATCTTCCAGCCTTTAAGATACTTCAAACTCCATGCTCTAGGCACTAATCACAGCACCAGATGCTGCTGTTTTAAGTTAACTGGCTATTTCAGAATGAATTAGGAAAGAGACTTTTTACATACTTTGCTACATATAGTAAAATCGAAGTGTTTATCACAACATATCAGCCGTTTCATTCAGCATGGGTAAGAGGAGTTACCACGCCATCTCAGGTGTCCTACACCATGGCACACAACAGCAATACAAGGTTGAGATCTTGTTAGAACATTTGAGCTGGCCAAACACCGTGTTTGCCAAGGGTGCCAGTGTGCTGGAGATCAGACCTTTGTCTTAATGTAAATTTTTTTTAAAACGGTGCAGCTTTTCTAATATCCACTTGTAGCAGTCACTTAAACTTTGTACCAGGGGTAGGCAACCTTTCAGAAGTGTTGTGCCGAGGCTTCATTTATTCACTTTAATTTAAGGTTTTGCGTGCCGGTAATACATGTTAAAGTTTTTTAGAAGGTCTCTGTCTATAAGTCTGGGGGGGGGGGGGGGAGGGCAGAAGGCTGGGGGTTGAGGGGGGGGGAGGGCAGAGGGCTGGGGGGGTGTGGAGGTGCTGGGCAGAAGGCTGGGTGTTGGGATGACTCAAGGTCAGCGCAGAGGGCTGGAGGGTGTGTGGGGGTGCAGGGCAGAAGGCTGGGGTGCTTGGCTCGTGGGGGTGCTCCCAGCCCCCTGCCCTGAGCGGCTCATGGCAGGGGGCTGGAAGGGATATCCCCTGTTCCACCCCCTTCCCCCAGGCTCCGTCCCTACCTGCTCTACGGAGCAGGGAGCACGCTGCCGCTCGGCTCTGCTCTGCTCCGCTCCCCCTCCCCGTCGCAAGGGCCATCGCTGGCAGGGAGAGGGAGAGTGGGGGGGGGAAGGGGTCCCGGTCCCCTGCCCCACTCAGCCCCCCCTGCCCACCACTCTCCCCTGCGGGGGCAGGAGGCAGAAACTTGGTCCTGCAGAAGCCAAGCTTCCCCCCTCCCCCGCTTCTCCCCCCAACGTGGTGCATTCCGGCCCCTCCGCCCCCCTCCTCTCACCGGGCAGGCAGCGTGCCACTCAAAATCGGCTCGCGTGCCGTGTTTGGCACGCGCAGGGCCGGCTCCAGGCACCAGCCCACCAAGCTTGTGCTTGGGACAGCACCTGGAGGGGGGCGGCGCTCCAGCCGCCGGGGAGAGCGGGGCCACGGCCGGGCTCGCCACCCTACCCCCAGCGCTCTGGCCGCCCTCCCCCCTGGCGCCCTCCCCCCGGCCGCCTAAGTCCTCTATTTGATGACATGAAATTACATTACTGACCTACTACTTGTTCATGTAAGCAACCGCAGTGCATTACATGAGGATGTTATCTGATCACGAACAGGAGGAGATTGTCCATACGCTCTATTAAGATGCAGTTCTCAAACCTAACTGTGGACCTACAGGGACTTGCTGTAGGTAAAAAATTCTCCCCCCAAAGCCGTCGTATAGCAGTCGAGCTATTACTCCAGCTCCAGGCTGAAATAGCCGGTACCAGTATTGGAGGAGGGAGAGGAAGGACTGGCTGTTGGATCTACATAGTGCATGGTGAACAGCTACAGTAAGTTGGCTAAATCCTGTCCCATCATAAAAGCCTTTTTAAGTAGAGACACACGTGTTCACTAGGATTTTAGAGTGTTACCCCAAGTTAAGACTAGGCTGACTGTATTTTTTCCCCCCACACAAATTAGCAGGCAGAGTTACACACCATGGGGAATCATTTTAAATCTGGTACAACAGAGTCAGATTCTGCTACCCTTTACTCATGTAAAATAGCCCCCCTTTTCTGCTCAGACAGTAAGGTACTAAAACGTGGCAGAATCTGCTCCCCAATGCTCTCCTTGTTAATTTCTTTGTCTATCCCACTGCGTATCCATCCCTCAAACTAATTAGGCCACAGACCTTTATTCCTCTCTTAGAAGAATCTCTAGCCTTTGCCACTGAGTAAGTTTCTGAGGAACCATAAGTCATAAAAAGGATGAACTGCTCCCTTTAAAACCTGATTTCAGCTAGCTGCCTTCAGAGTCCCTTTACACTCCCAGTTACAGGTTAAATGTTAACAAGGGGGAATGGTTGATCACAATGCAGTGTAAGTTTGTTTGCATTTTCCATCAACAGCTGCAGATTTTGGCCTGGAAATACATTTCAATAGGCAGGAGAAAAACACTTGAGTGTAAATCCATTTAATTTGCTATTGTTTTCAGCCATGTATTCAAAATTGTCCAGTTATTCTGTTCAGTGCTGAATGAGAGACAAATTGAAAGTTAGTGTGGTACTAGTTCTCCTCTCACCCACATACCCTCCTGCTGCAGTCTGCACTGTCTTGAGACCACAGACATTCTACGTCAATATGCTGTTTAAAAACAAAAACACTTAAATGATCATTTCTATTCTGAGCCATACCCTCAGGATGCTTTTCCCAATATGGTTAAACAAGTTTCAAAGCAGATGAACACATTCAAAATATTTATTCTGAAGTACACAAAGAGAATTAAGGATTTTTTAGCACTACTATCAGCATGACTCCATTTTATAGGCACTAATTCAGCAAGTGATTTGTGTTAACATTGGTGTACATATTGACTTGTATTGGACAAAAGACTCCTATGATTCAAGCATTGAGGTATTTTGCATGGTGTCTGATGTGATCATTAACAAACGTCGCAATGAAGAAGTAGCTGTGATCGTAGCCCTAGCAAAGAGAAAAACAGATTCAGCAATTCAAGGTACTTAATGGTAAGGCGTTGGAACTGGATTTTCGAGCATTGTTAGTGACAGCTCATTTGATGTCTGTCTGCTCGTTTTAAGAAGGCAGTAAGGAGGCTATTTCAGGTTTATGCAGGGCCTGTCCTAGCCCTAGGAGGCTACATAAACTGGCTGTGCACTAGGCTCTCCCATCCCGATGAAGATGGGCACACTCCATAAATACACCACCTGTGCAGGCAGCGGCTATCTCGGAAGGACATGGCAGATAGGATGGAGTCATTTGAAAAACCCTGAAGAATTTCAGGCTACTGTGACTCTGCGCCATAATGCTGCAGGAAAGGGAGGGTTCTTTCTTTGCCTCCTGACTGATCCTGTCAGCCAAAACCAACAATGTACCACTATATAAACGCCACTACGTGGTTTAAATGTATACAGATGATCAATTAGATAAGAGCACACTTTCTTCATAATGCTTTTGTGATGGGTTACTGCAATATATTAAAAACAGAGCAAGATACTTATCTCCAACAAAATTCATGTATTTTCTTCCTCATCAGCATGTCACCAGTAGATTGGATTGCACTCTAAACACCCTATAATGTTTAAACTAAAAATCAGCTCCCCCTATAGTGGTCAAAGTAATTAAGTCAGTGGGGTCTAGTGGATACACCGCTGCACTGAGTCAAGAGAGCTGCTCTCTGTTCTCACCCCTGCCATTGACCTGCTGTGTGACCTTGGACAAATCACTTTACCTTTCTGTACCCTTTGCCTGTCTTGTCTATTTCAGGACTGGGACTGTCTCTGGCTAGCTGCTTCACCTTTTAGGCACACAGAGTCAACCCAGTAATTATGGGATGGATGCATCAGACACCCCCACCCTGCTTCCCCCCAAAAAGGTACTTTTGGTACTTGCCTGTTGCAATCTAAAGACTACAGGGATTTTCCGCTCTGTGCAGGCAGCAATAAAGTTGTCAGGCAGTAATTGCCCTGCTGAAAGGAACTGGTCATCTTTGCCTTGATCAATTAAGATGTCAAGATGAGAATCTGGATAAGACTTCACAAGATGGGTAGCATCATATGCCTGTAGAAATAAAATTAAACTAATTAAAAGTGTAACAACATTTTTGAGAATTTTCTTCACCTAGTAACTATACTACCAAATTGGATTAGAATTATTGTTTAGGATAGGATATGGACATGGACTGCAACAAACTGGGGTCTAAGACAATGTTTACACTAAAAGGCTGTCCAAACTATGGAGTAAGTTCAAAGTTGGGGCTCTCAGGCCAAAACCTTAAATCTATCTCACTGACTCAAATCCTGTTCTATTGGTATCAATGCCCATAGTATTTAATCACGATTAAAGAACCGAACGTTTTGCCAGCCTGCTCCTACAGAACTCGGACTTACCGATCTCTGACCAACACGTTTTTCCTCTTTTGCCTGCCACTATAAGAAGCAAATCCTTTGTGCACAGAGAATACAGGAATATACACTGTGGGTCCGTCGACTCTGCAAGTGAATGTAGCTCAGGCATACCGTGCTAGCTTAGTCTAAATGTACAGGAAACAACAGCAGTGTAGATGAGGTGGCATGGCCTTCAGCATGGGCAAGCAGCCAGCGTACAAGCCCTCCAGGTAGTCTAACTAAATATTCTGGTTGCTAGCCTGTCCTGAAGCCCATGCCACCACATCTACACTGCTATTGTTACCTGTGCTAGCTCAATTAAAGCTAGCCTACCCATGTTATGATCACACTTCACTTGTAGTGTAGACATAACTTAAGGGGAGCCTTCAGAGCAGGGGTCCCCAACACGGTGCCCGCGGGCGCCATGGTGCCCGCCGTGGCATCTGTGTGCGCCCACCTACTGGCTGCCGGAAAAGCAGCCGCCGAGAAGCGGCAATGTCAAAACGCTGCCATTTTCGGCGGCGCCTCTTGACGCTACTTCTCGGCAGCATTTCGGCAGTGACGCTTGTTGGCGTTGCTGCTTTTCGGCGGCATTTCAGCGGCTGCTTGTCCGGTGGCCATGCTCCTCGGCGGCTAGTCGTCAGGCGCCCGCCACACTGAAAAGGTTGCTGCTTCAGAGCATTTCATCACCCTAAAAAGGGGATCAGATTTTCATCTGTTCAATGTTTCCAGGAAACAGATGAAGAGCCAGAGCTTGCTCATATTTCTACTTATCTCACAATTTAAAATCTTCAGAAGTGAGGAGAGAATTTACTGTCTCTATGTGGTAAGAACAGCCTCCTGTTAATGTATGTTTTTTGTAAAGTGGGAGCCAGCAATATGATGGTGATCAGTATCCACACAAGTACTGTACAGTCGGATTCAATGTTTGATGATGGGATAACATGGTGTTATTCAAACAGAAGTCATCACTTCATGTTTTGCTTCCCTACTACATAGTGCAGTCACAAGCTCTTTTTACCGTTCATTAAATGACTGGACTCTCCCACACATACCTCCCATTTAGTTAGATCTGATCCCAGATATCCACCAAAAGCTTTCTTCCCCCAGGGACACTGGACTGGGTTGCAGATAGGAGCAAATGCTGATACAGACTGTTTAGAAACACAAACATAGGGATTAAGAAAAGTCATTTTGATAAGCAAGATGTGAGCGAAAAGTGTGTTCAAAAGCTGTTCTGCCTAGTTACAATTGTAGCACATTGGGGAGCAAGTGCTCTATTCTCACCTTATACAGCAGTCAATCTCAGTCTTGTGACATAATTAGATTTTTTTTTTTAAATGTATAAAGGAACACAATCCACAAATAAGTGCTCAGAGAGACCACAAAAGGGACAAGGTACAATTAGGTCCCCTCCACACACACAAGACACTAATGTCTCTCATCTAACAATAGAGAGCTAAGATTTGCTAACCAAAAATGCAAGGGATTACTTTGGATTTTGAAATCTCTGAAGCCGTAAAATGGGGGCATTTATTGAAAATGCCAAGGAAGACAGAACAGCTTAAAAATTCTATGAATTGTAATGTGCATGTATTGGGAATTAACTCAATACAAACTTTCAGCCATTTTATAACAATCTTACGAACATAGGAATATAAGAACTACTATATCAAGTCAGACAATGGTCCATCTAGCCCAGTATCCTGTCTTCGATAGTGGCCAATGCCAGATGCTTCACAGGGAGAAGGGGTGGTTGGATGGGGCAGGGGTCCTGGGGGGGCCGTCAGGAATGAGAGGAGGGGTTGGACGGGGCGGCGGGGGTCCGGGGAGTGGGGGGAGGGAGGGGTGTGGATGGGGCAGGGGTCCCGGAGGGGGGGCCGTCAGGGAATGGGGGGGGGTTGGATAGGGCAGGAGTCCCGGGGGGAGTGGGGGCAGATAGGAGGTGGGGGCCAGGCCACAACCCTCTCCCCTAACCGGCCCTCCATACAATTTACGAAACCCGATGCGGCCCTCAGGCCAAAAAGTTTGCCCACCCCTGACATAGTCTATTAGAAATACCAGAGAGAATGCAGCCCTGGGATACTCCTGATTCTCAGTCCACTACTACCATCGACCCGCATATAATTATATGTACCACTAGGCACACTAAATGCTCAAAAAAAATTCAGAATCTATGGGACTTAAGATCAATGGTGACAAAAGTTATATGTGCCTTCTATAACATGGAAATGAATGATCTGTCAATGCTATATGTAGATGATAAGGATTGAATAGTTTTATCTATCTTGGTAGTCGGTTGACAGCAGGAGATTGTAACCAAAGATGCAGGGCTGGTACAAGGAAGTTTCGAGCCCTAGGCGAAACTTCCACCATGCGCCCCTCCCCATCCCCAACCCCAGCCCTGCAGCAGCTCCCCCCACTCCCAGGAGAGCCGTGCAGCAGCTCCCCACCCCAGCTCACCTCTGCTCCGCCTCCTCCCCAAGCACACTGCCCCCACTCTAATTCTCCTCCCCTCCCAGGCTTGCGGCGCCAAACAGCTGATTGGTGCCGCAAGCCTGGGAGGCGGGAGAAGTGGAGCGGCCGCTGCGCTGGGAGAGGGAGTCTGAGCCGCTGGTGTCAGTGCGCCGCCGGCAGCCCAGCCCAGGAATACAGTAAAAAAAATTGGCGCCGCTTTTTGGCGCCCCCAAATCTTGGCGCCCTAGGCAACCGCCTAGTTTGCCTTAATGGTAGCACCAGCCCTGCAAAGATGTCACATCCGATCGGTCTTGCATCAACTGCATTTCAGCATCCTCAAAAGCCTCTGGGTGGGTGGTGGGATGTGTGTGACAACTAAGATACGAGTGTTCAACGTGGTGATGAGGACTACCCTGTTATATAGAGCAGAAACAAGGCCATTAAACAGCTGAGGACAGAAAACTAAACAGTTTTCCATGTCAAAAGTAATGGTGTATTCTTAACATCTATTGGTTTGATTTTGTCACAAATGAGGAGATACTTGGATGATTCTGGGAAGCTGAAGTCCTGCCCAGATGAAAACAAGATGACTGCAATGATGGGGTCCTGTCCAATGGGCAGAAAATGGTACATTTCTATAGAAGATTTACAAGCTGAGGTAAAAGGAAAGAGCATGAGATCGGCCACAAATGAGATTGGAAGATGTGATTTTTGAGGGATTAAGAAGCCCAAATCCTCCCATACTGACTCATGATGAAGGAAGAAGACCTGCAAGAGACTGTTCAAGATGGAAGTCCATTCTAGGTGATGCCACAGCTACACTACAGCCATGTAAATGTGCTGCTGCTGCTTAACTAGAATAGTCTGGATAAAATAGCAATAAGACTTTAATATTCTCCACTGGAGACTATATTTAACTCAGTTTTTAACTTTTTGAATCCTGTAGTTGGTATTTCACCAATGCCAAATGCTAATGCATTTTACAGTAGCATTCAGTACTAGGCAGTGCTAGTACCTGTAGGCTATTAGTATTAAAATTAAAGTTATTCATAATCTTAAAGGTTGCAACAACAGAGTTTAACTTGAATTTGATTTTTAAACGCTTTTTCTCTAGAAGATTGTATAAAACTTAATATCTTACTTTGTATTTTCCAGGATTCTTCAAAGCAAGGATAAGAGCTCCATGGCCCCCCATTGAGTGCCCAAAAATAGACATCCTTTCTGAGTCAGCTGGGAAATTGGCTTTTATTAATTTAGGCAGCTGAAAAAAAATCAAGTGTGACAGAAAAAAAAAGGAAGACTTTAATATATTTAGACTTTGAGAGTCAAGCAACTTAATGTGATCTATTACTGTGTTTTAATCCAGATAAAAGAATTGTGAGATTAAATGTACAAATTAGTTTTCAGACTGTGACCTCAACTGTTAAATTAACCACAAGTACAAAACAATCTCAACTACTGAATATCACTAAACACAAAAGGAAACATTTCAAACATCTGTAGACATTTCATGGTCTACAAGATGTTAATCAACTAGACATATTACAATACATTTATGTAAATGTACATGTATAACAAGATTGAGGTTTCATTATAACCCTGTTCTCATTTTAACTAAATCCCTAAATATGTTCTCACAAAATGAGCAGAATGACAACTTGTTCTGGAGAGGCCTTTTACATTTCATGTCCCTGTCAACATTACTTTTTAATCTGGACCACTCATGCTGCAAATTAACAGACTTCTATGTATTGTTATTCATCATCTTAATAGATTTGCTCAAGCATTCTATTTTGAAAATGATGACATTTGACTGCTAATGAAAATGGTCCAACTTTGATATGCATGATAAGCGGCCATCTCACTACAATAGTCCAATTAAGAGGAGATCAGTCCCTCTAGTCAAGGCAAAACAATGAGATTGAGTTTAACACATTTAGCAACATTAATTTCAGTTGGGAAAAAAAGTCACCTCATCCTTTATGTACGAGTACATTCTATAGTTGGTTTTCCATGGTTCCTCAGTGGCGTCTACATAAAAACCAGCACCTGTGCCGAAATCCCAGCTCTCATCTTCTCCTTCAATATTGCAGCCACCTATCATGGAAAAGTGATTCTCAGTTTATTGTCCCATCACCTAATTTGATGTTAGGGTATTCTTTTCCATGATATAAGCCACACCCTTCTAGATGGACCTGGATAAATTTAACCTCTGTGCCTCAGTTTCCCAAAAACTGTAACATGAGGATGATGTTTAAGCAGTAATACAGTGTTTTGAGGGTTAATTCATTAATGTTTCCAAAATGCTTTGAGATTCACAAGTAAAAAGTGCAACGTTTTCTTAGTTTTCACTTTTCTTCATCCCTTCAATCCCAAAATTTGTCTCTGATGTACGATCAGATATTAATTTAACTGAATCTTACTACACTATGAATTTCTTATCAAATAAATCAGGGACATGTTAGAAACAGAAAATCCAGTCTATTCTCCTGCCAATACAAGATACCCTATACTACCGTATATCTTTGATTGCTTTGTCCAGTCTAGTTTTGAATTATTCAAATTATATGTTCCACTTCCTCCCCTGGGAGTTTCCAGTCTAGTTAATCTCACCATCAGGAACATCTTCTGTATATTAATTCTCAATTCATCTTTTCTCTGTTTCATGTCAATAATAAATTAGAACCCCGTATAAAACCTAAGTCATTCCTCTTTTGAATAACTGTAGACATATCCTCCTTCACCAAGGCTATACTGTCGGTTCTTAATTTTTATGTTTCCCTTAAATTCAATCCATCCAGCCATCTCTTATCCCTCTTCAGTTTGCCCATGATTTGACAGTAGAATCAAATGACGTAAAAGTCTTAAACGAACCAAACAGTACCATAGAATCTTTATGGATAGTAATTCCATGCTCTAAAAATAAGAATATAGCGGTAGGGATATATTACCAACCACCTAACGAGGACGGTAAAAGTGACTGTGAAGTGCTCAGTGAGATTAAAGAGGCTATTAAAATAAAAACTCAATAATAATGCGGGATTTCAACTATCCCCATATTAACTGGGTACATGTCACCTCAGGACGTGATGCAGAGATAAAGTTTCTTGACACCTTAAATGACTGCTTCTTGGAGAAGCTAGTCCTGGAACCCACAAGAGAAGAGGCAATTCTTCATTTAGCCCTAAGTGGAGCGCAGGATCTGGTCCAAGAGGTGAATATAGCTGGACCACTTGGTAATAGTGACCATAATATAATTAAATTTAACTTCCCTCTGGCAGGGAAAACACCACAGCAGCCCAACACTCTAGCACTTAGTTTCAGAAAGGGGAACTACACAAAATGAGGAGATTAATCAGAAATTAAAAGGTACAGCGCCAAAAGACACCAATTTTTAAAAAGGCTCCAGAGGTGATCCCGGCAATTACAGGACAGTAAGCCTGACCTCAGTACTGGGCAAACTGGTTGAAACTATAGTAAAGAACAAAATTGTCAGACACACAGATGAACATAATTTATTGGGGAAGAGTCAACATGGTTTTGTAAAGGGAAATCATGCCTCACCAATACTAGAATTCTTTGAAAGGGTCAACAAGCATGTGGACAAAGGGGATCCAGTGGATATAGTATACTTAGATTTTCAAAGCCTTTGACAAGGTCCCTTACCAAAGGCTCTTAAGCAAAGTAAGCTGTCATGGTATAAGAGGGAAGGTCCTCTCATGGACTGGTAACTGGTTAAAAGATAGGAAACAAAGGGTAGGAATAAATGGTCAGTTTTCAGAATGGAGAGAGGTAAATAGTGGTATCCCCCAGGGGTCTGTACTGGGCCCAGTCCTATTTAACATTCATAAATGATCTGGAAAAAGGGGTAAACAGTGAGGTGGCAAAATTTGCAGATGATACAAAATTGCTCAAGATAGTTAAGTCCCAGGCAGATTGTGAAGAGCTAAAAAAAAGGATCTCTCGAAACTGGGTGATTGGGCAACAAAATGGCAGATGAAATTCAATGTGGATAAATGCAAAGTAATGCACATTGGAAAACATAATCCCAACTATACATATAAAATAATGGGGTCTAAATTAGCTGTTACCACTCAAGAAAGAGATCTTGCAGTCATTCTGGATAGTTCTCTGAAAACATCCACTCAATGTGCAGCGGCAGTCAAAAAAGCAAACAGTATGTTGGGAATCATTAAGAAAGGGCTAGATAATAAGACAGAAAATATCATATTTCCTCTACATAAATCCATGGTATGCCCACATCTTGAATACTGCGTGTAGATGTGGTCGCCCCATCTCAAAAAAGATATATTGGAATTGGAAAAGGTTCAGAAAAGGGCAACAAAAATTATTAGGGGTATGGAACAGCTGCCATATGAGGAGAGATTAATATGACCAGGAAAAGAGACGACTAAGGGGACATATAATAGGAGGTCTATCAAATCATGACTGGTGTGGAGAAAGTAAATAAGGAAGTGTTATTTACTCCTTCTCATAACACAAGAACTAGGGGTCACCCAATGAAATTAATAGGCAGCAGGTTTAAAACAAACAAAAGGAAGTATTTTTTCACACAACGCACAGTCAACCTGTGGAACTCCTTGCCAGAGGATGTGAAGGCCAAGACTAAAACAGTGTTCAAGAAAGAACTAGATAAGTTCATGGAGGATAGGTCCATCAATGGCCATTAGCCAGGATGGACAGGGATGGTGTCCCTAGCCTCTGTTTGCCAGAAGCTGGGACTGGGTGACAGGGGATGGATCACTTGGTGATTACCTGCTCTGTTCATTCCCTCTGGGGCACCTGGTATTGGCCACTGTCGGATGACAGGCTACTGGGCTAGATGGACCTTTGGTCTGACCCAGTATGGCCGTTCTTACGTTCTTGATAGCAGGTCCCAGAACTCTTCTTCTTAGCATATGCGCAACATGCCTCCAGGTGGCATGTGACCAGGATTCATCATCGAATTTGGTCCGCTGAGAACTGAACGTAGTATTTAAGGTGCCACTAGCACAGGGACCATTACTTTCTTCCTTGCTAACATGCACCTGTTTACTAAAACCAGAATTACAAGGGATTTTTTTGCTGCCATATTAAATTGCAAACTCTTACCTAATTTGACACAACTGTTAGGACAATTTATGAGTACACACCTTCCTGCTTATCACAGGCTGAGCCAGGGGCTTTTAAGAGGATCAAAGTTTAGCTCACTCCTGTGACACAGACTCTGCCAAAAACTGAGGGATTCTGGAACTTGTAGACCAGGAATCACGGGAACTGTAGGCTGTAAATCAAGTATTCTGGGTATAAAAGGGTTGGTTGCCTCTGTCTGAGACAGATGGTAGGACTTACTGTGAATCTTTCTGTTAAGGAAGAAATTAGGGAAGGACAAAGCATGATAATCTTGCTAAAAGAAAGGGCTTAAAGAAAAAAGGTGGAAAAGCAGCCTGGGAAGAAGCCTCAATGGAGATGAACAAATGTTTGGGACATTCCATGAAGAGGGGCAAATGCCTGCAGTAAAGGGAAGAAATGTTCACTTATATCCTCATGAAGAGGCTTTAAAACCATGTTTTATGTTTTCCTGTTTATTTCTGTTTACCATGAAAAAGAGTTTTTCATTCAGCTGGAGGGCTAAACCACCAAGAGGGGAAATTGAGGGACTGGACAAATCTGATGACAAAAAGGTAAGCTGCACCATCACACTGCTATAACTTGATTCTCCCTCTCTTCTTGGCTTCTAAGTTTATTCAGCTGTTGGATTTTGTCCAAATCTTAGATAATGAGCTCTCTAGGGCAGAGACTGTCTTGATTATGTTTGTTTGTATAGTGCTTGGAAGAACAGGGCCCTGACTCCTAACTCCATTTCTTAGACACTACCACAGTAGAAGTGATAAGTGTCTAATACTGCTAAGTCTCTTTGCTTCCCACATGTTATGTTTCCAGGAGAGTTTCTACTGGGCATGCACTTACAGACACCTGCACATGCAAACACCGCTCTGAATATTTTCTCCATGCTATGTTCGGAACACTTACTTTAATATGTGATTACATTTAATCTGCTGCAAACTCAATGTTCCAGATAACTTAAAGGTGTTAGAGATTTGGGCCCTGTGAACATAGAACTGAGGCTGTCTGGAACACAATGGACATCAGAGATGCACTAGAAAATCCATTAACACTGTGGAGCTTGCAGTCATCTGCTTTGATTTATTCCAGTTATGGCAAGTTACAAAGGCAGGAGACAGGCCAAGAGGTTAGTGCAAAAGAGAACGTATGATCCTATCAATGAACAGGCATGCAAAGAGCAAATGGCCAGAGGTAGCACAAAAGCAAGTCCAAGCACCCAAGGGCAGTTACAGCCCCAAACCCTTAATCTGATGTTATTTGAATGACATAATGAAGATTTGACCATCCCTCTCTGCAGTACATAATAGCTATGAATGCATGTTACAATAATGCTTGTTTCAATATACTTTCTGCATATTAATTAAAAATGCACTAAACACAGGAAGACATCAGGTCCCAGGACAAAATATGGAAGAATATATGTTGCTCCCCTAGCAGTTCAGTAAAATATTTTGCAGTAATTTTTCTTAGTACAAAAAAGAGATTAAAGCATAGAACTTTCAGAAAGTTGAAATTCTGTCCTTAAATCATTGTTGTGATCAAGGGCTCTCAAATATTCAATGATCTTACATTCTATGTCCAGGGAACTGGAATACCTAGCCATGACGAATAATTTGTGAAAGGAACTTGTTAGGAAGTTGTTTTGAGGGAATTAAATCAAGCATTTTTGTTGAGATTCGATGCCATCAAATGCTGGAAAATATCAGAAAGCCTCCTCCGATATGTATAGCATAAGTACCATTGTAGCAGAAAATACCAAGAGCGTTCAGAAAGCTGAAGTGTAATTTACAGAACTCTCCAGGTAACTGTGACAAAGGTGGGTACAGAATTTCCCCTTTTCAGGTTCCCCAGTTTCTATACTAATCAATACCTTATAAGGGAACATTACACCAGCCAAGGAACCCTACCGGAGCCAGACTTCTGCACTGGGGAAGAGATGTGTGTGCTTTTTTTAAACTGTTGTTTTAGCTTTATAAGTACCGAGTACAGTAAATAGTAAAAGGCTCTGAAAAATCATGCAACACAGTAAAAACAAAACACTAGCTCCATGTTCCAACAGGGTTCCATGGATGATGTAAGGTACCAGCATAGTATATCCCAGTGATACTCAGATCTCTGTGATTCAAGAGCCAAATTAGCAATCAACACTAACCAAAAGAGCCACAGTACTGTGAATTCATTGTTTCATTTACTATTTATATTATATATAAATTCTCCCAGCAAAATGCCTATTATTTTATCAACTACAATTGGTTAATACAGGGGTCGGCAACCTTTCAGAAGTGGAGTGCCGAGTCTTCATTTATTCACTCTAATTTAAGGTTTCGCGTGACAGTAATACATTTTAACATTTTTAGAAGGTCTCTTTCTAGAAGTCTATAATATATAACTAAACTATTGTTGTATGTAAAGTAAATAACGTTTTTAAAATGTTTAAGAAGCTTCATTTAAAATTAAATTAAAATGCAGAGCTCCCCGGACTGGTGGCCAGGACCCGGGCAGTGTGAGTGCCACTGAAAATCAGCTCACGTGGCGCCTTTGGCACGCGTGCCATAGGTTGCCTACCCCTGAGTTAATATCATAGTAAAGGCATCCTGCTTGGTTAAATAACTTAGATTAGTTAATAATTAAATCACACAGTGTTTTAATATCATGTGCTGCAAAGAGACACAGGAGACACGTTAAAGAGCCACTTGCAGCTCTCGAGCCTCTGTCTGAGTATCAGCGATATACACCAAGGTATGTCATGAAGTGTAAGCCAGGGACTTTGGAGAACCAAAAAAAAAAAAATGGAGGGGAACGAGAGTCTTACATTGCCCGTGTGTGACCTGAACTGCCCCCTTATCTTAATATTAGGACATTTGTATTAAAATGGCTTTAATAGTGGAGTTCTAAAGTTACAATTCATTTAATATATATTAAACACATAATTCAGCAAATTGGTATAATCTATAGAACCTACAGATGGACATTCCAAATAAAGATACAATTACACCAATACATTTAGTAGTAACATGAATCATTCTATTCTTTGGGGACAAGCAGCAGTAAACGTTTATATGCTGAAGGCTCATCATGAAACCTGAAGACACTTACGTGGACTGGTATCTGGTGCAACTACAATGAGGCCATGTTCAGCTGCAGCCTGATGAAAACCAGATTTGGTAATAAAGTTCTGTTCTGTACAAGTTAATCCTAGAGATAAAAATATGACTGGTTATATACTACTCACAGCATTCCAGCTTCCAACATATACTAGAGAAGTTTAAAAATAAATGGGATTCATGCCTTAAGAATGAATGTAATTGCTAACAGTCCATAGAAACAGACTCAGTTACATTTTCACATTTCCACAGAAAAAAAGATTTGATCGTACTAACTTTTTCATTTCCCACTTGTATCAACCACCATTCCTTTTAAAGATCTTTGGGATTTTGTCCATAGTTCGGTATTGACCATAATTAGGTCACTGAATGTTTCATCCAGAGAGCCACACAAGTGCTTGTTCATTTACTATAAGCAGAGTTCTCAAATACTGCGTAAGATATCATTCGAGAAGACATTAAGTGACAAAAAAAGTCCTATATTTCATTAGTTAGCAATTATAATAAGCATGGTGGATCCCTATACCTCAGGATCCATAGCAATCTGTGCTTATGACAGAGCAGGTTTGAGACTGAAGTCGAATTACAAGTCTATGATAACTTAGACCAGTATTTTAAGGATTCTTCACAGTGCCATGTAGGAAGAGTTACAGATTGTAGTTTTAACCTTCACCTGTGGTGAGTTTTAGATAGTTTCAACTGATTGACTTATTAGCAAAGGAGGCTTGCTTGTAATTAGTTATTTTACTGTAAGTGCTGTATAAGAGTTGTGGTACCTCCTCAGACAATTTCTTCTAACCTACAAACAGCTTCAATAGTAGATGTTAACACTCTTATGCAATCTGTCATCATTCTACATGCACAACACTCAATTATAATGGAAGTCAAGTACAGGTTAGGGCTTAGAATCACACCTCTACTGGCCTATTCTACCCTTGTACTTCCACTAGCTTTAATGGAATTGTAACTGCCTCTAATTTTAGTGACTTATGCTTGTACACGGAATTGAGACATTTACTAATTTTGCCAACCATCAATAATAGAAATTTGCTATTTTTTGATAATTCATACAAAATATTAACAGTTAAAGAAGGTAATTGGGGGAAAATATCAAAAGTAACACAAGTAAACTTTACCATAGCTACATATATCAGACTACTGGTAAAATTACAATAGGCTGCAAAACATTGCTTTCAACAACTACTGCTTAAGTTGGTAAACATATATTAGGACAAGGTTTTCAGGTTTGTTTTTTTTTTTTTTAAACTAAATTCTTCTATATCTTATATATACACAATGTACCTCTGGCAAAATCCATATTTCAAACTTGGTCTGATTTGTTAATACAATCAAAATGGTAGTTCCTGTTAAAATTTGTTTTAGAACTATAATGTCATTCTTCCACTGTTACACCATGCATTAAGACTAACATTTTACAGTATATCCAGTCCCTGAGATCTAAATAGCACCATATCCTAAAACATGGATACAGGATGAAACAATTTTCATACAGCACATTTACTTAAATAGGACAATTTTCCCCATTGTGGATTCCACCCTACTTGTTTAGTTCTGATCATTTTTTCTTCCAGAAACAGGTCCAGAGAGGAAAATATCTATTGAGTGTGCAAACACCAGCTTATCTCAAGCTGTTTAGGCACAGCTTTTTATTAGTTACACAGAATATCCTAAATCTATTTGAAGATTTAGTCAACGTGAGCTAAAGGCCCACCAACAATATATAGGTTCTAGATTTTTTTGCATGTGCAGGGCCAGATCCTTCAAGTTTCTCTGCACTGCTCCAGCAGCACAGAAAAAAAAAAAAAAAAAAAAAGGCCATAAATCTGGCAGCCTGCCCCCCCTAAGGCTGGCTGATTCATATGCTAGCACAATACCACATTGCAGGGGAGTGTTTAAACCCAAACAAAAGCAGTCTTCAGTGAAGGGTTGCCAGGCATCCGGTTTTCGACCGGAATGCCCAGTTGAAAAGGGACCCTGGCAGCTCCGGTCAGCACCACTGACCGGGACATTAGAAGTGTGGTCAGCAGCACAATGGAGCTAAGGCAGGCTCCCTGCCTGCCCTGACTCTGCACAGCTCCCGGAAGCTGCCGGCATTTCCCTGCGGCCCCTAGGTGCAGGGGCGATCAGGGAAACTCTGCACGCTGTCCCCACTCCCAGAACCGGCTCCACAGCTCCCATTGGCCGGGAACCATGGCCAATGAGAGCTGCGGGGGCAACGCCTGCAGGTATGGGAAGCGCGCACCACGCAGAACTGCCTGGCCGTGCCTCCACCCAGGGGCCGGACATGCCGGCTGCTTCTGGGAGCAGCACGGAGCCAGGGCACCTGCCTTAGCCAGGGCCGGTGCAAGGAAGTTTCGCGCCCTAGGCGAAACTTCCACCTTGCGCCCCCCCCCCCCCCCCCAGCCCTGCGGCAGCTCCCCGCCGCCCCGAGGCGCCCCCCCCCCGTGGCAGCTCCCTCCCCCCGCCCTGAGGCGCCCCCCCGCGGCAGCTCCCCACCCCAGCTCACCTCTGCTCCGCCTCCTCCCTGAGCACGCCGCCCCCGCCCTAATTCTCCTCCCCTGCCAGGCTTATGGCGCCAAACAGCTGATTGGCGCCGCAAGCCTGGGAGGCGGAAGAAGTGGAGCAGCAACGGCGTGCTCGGGGAGGAACGCTGTAAAAAACAAAAAAAACAAAAAATGGGGGGCACTGCTTTTTGGCCTCGGGGATGGGGCAGGGCAAGGGTGTTCAGTTTTGTGCAATTAGAAAGTTGGCAACCATACTTTAATGGAATCAATTTATCTCCTTTTTTACATACTGTAAATTTTGGGTCTTAAATTAACCTAACAGTATCTTTTAAAAATACCGAAGTTCACATTACTCACCTGAGAGCCAGTACAGCACAGGACACTTCCCAATTTCTGCTTTTGGTGGCAAATAGATTCCAAACCTCATTTTGCATTTTAACTCTATACTGTAGCAACAAAATACATTTGATTAACAGTATCTAACAGACACGCCCAGGACAATCATTTAAAAAAAAAAAAAACACGCACTATCTAGAGCAGGGTTTACTGCGCGGGCCGAGGGATGTTCTGGCCGCTGCTTCCCGCTGCCCCCATTGGCCTGGAATGGTGACAGGTAAACAAACCGGCCTGGCACCCTGGCGGACCGCGTGCCAAAGGTTGCCGATCCCTGATCTAGAGTTTATCTATGCATTTCTAGAATACTAATCAGAATATCTAAACCAGGCCATTACTGATTCAATGGATAATAGTATTTTAAGAGTGCAAGTGAAATTAACAACATTAGCCTATTGAGTAACACTGATTGCATTTCTACTATGTTTTAAATACATTTTAAAAAGAAAGAAAAATAAACCAAATCCTTACAGTCTGGCTGGTAGGGAATATTTTGAAAATTAGCATTGGAATTCAAGACCTAACAATGTTCAACCTAACTCCTGCCTGTTAAATTGGAGAGACATATTTTAAGAACATATACAAATAGCTCACATAATTTACAGTGCAGCACATATAGAAGCAAAAGTCAAGTTGTTTCGGTCTCCCAGATTGATACACTAATCAATTGCCCAATTTTTATTCAATGTTAAAACTACCAATAGAAAGCATTTTTTCTTCAGAAGCTACTTTCTTTAGATGCAAGATCTTCCAGCAGCAGTACTATATAAAGGAATATACACCTCTACCCCGATAGTACGCAGTCCTCGGGAGGCAAAAAATCTTACCGCGTTATAGGTGAAACCGTGTTATATTGAACTTGCTTTGGCCTCGAGCATCTCCGTTATTAATAGTCAGCAAATAGCCCCGCCCCCATCCGACCCCCACCGCGAGGGGGAGCAGGGCGGGCAGCCTCACCCGAGGTGCCCATGTGTGCCTGGTCCCCGCCCCGGGCCCATTCAGTGCCAGGGGAGGTGAGCCATCGGCGGGAGGCTCCTGCCGTGCGTGCCCGCGCTCAGCCCCATCTCTCCTCCTCCGCAGAGGCCCGCACAGCCCGTCTCTGGTGAGGACACTGCGGCCAGCTGCCTGCCAGGGCACACGAAGCCCCTGACTGCGGGCAGGTAGTGCGGCGCTATGGCCCCGGAGAGCCCGCCCGGCGCTGCTGCGAGCGGGGCGCAGCCTGTCAGCCGATCCTGCTGTGTGCCGAGCCCTCCAGCGCCGGGACAGGGGCACCTGCACGGCGCCATCTAGGATGGGCACCTCTCCCTGCCCTGGATCCGCAACTTCCCCGCGTGGACCAGTCTTCCCCAACTTCTCGGCACCAGCTGGAACCTGTGTGACGTTCCCCTGCACTGCAGCTCCCATCCTCGGCGTGTGGCTCCCCCCTGTCCCCTGACCACCCCCCAAGACCCTGCGCCCGTTATCCAACCCCTCGGCCCTGGCCCGGCACCCTTAACACACCGCTCAGAGCAGCGTGTTGGAGCCAGACACGCTGATGCGCCGGAGCGCGCAGCCCCGCCCCCAGAGCGCTGCTTTACCGCGTTATATCCGAATTCGTGTTATATCAGGTCGCGTTATATCGGGGTAGAGCTGTATATATTCTAATTCAAAAGATGGACAACCACCTAATTAATAGAGTATAATTCAAATGTATTACAATATTACATGCCACAAGCAAACAGGCTGAAAAGACTTACATAAGCAACTGGAGTTTGACCTTTATCTAAAAGAGTCTCTCCCCTTCACAGCAAAGAATTGCTGATTCATGGGTAATGGGTGTCTTTTAGAGACCAGAAATGAAAACTACATGCTTATATATAGTTGTATAGGTAATTCCTCCTCACTAAAAGATTGTTTCTACTTCTATTTTAGTTTGTTTGATGCTTCTGGTCATGTGAATAACTCCATGTGAATGAAGCAGTAAGTGTTTTAATATATATTCATATTTCCACATTGCAAATACAGCAGCCCAAGGTGATGAGACCAATTCTCAGGACATAGTAAATTTACTATTAATGTTTTCCCTCTGCCGAACTTAGTAATAAGTGTTTAAAAATGTAGAATAAAGCAACTTGTAAGCTGAAGACATAATATAAAAATGAAGCTACTAAAACACTAATATTAGTATCAGGGAAATGCATATTTTGTCTTTCTTTTGACTATGGAAATATTGGAAGTAATATGATACTGCCATTGCTCTCCCGGTGCTAAAATTTTAGGTTGCCTTTGTAATGTTTACCTGTCATGTTCAAACACCTTCTGGAAACCCTCAAAGCATTTGTTGCTGGAAATCTGTTTCAGTGCCATAATCTCAGCTGCTAAAAACAAAACAAAAACAACAACAACAAAAACCACTATCAATTTGTATCTCCAGCCAACAGGTTTTTAAAAAACAGAAAACAAAAAACAACTTTGAATGGCCATTTTTTTCAGGTTTCAGAGTGGTAGCCATGTTAGTCTGTATCAGCAAAAAGAACGAGGAGTACTTGTGGCACCTTAGAGACTAACAAATTTATTTGAGCATAAGCTTTCGTGGGCTACAGCCCACTTCATCGGATGCATGCAGTGGAAAATACAGTAGGAAGAGATATATACACAGAGAACATGAGAAAATGGGTGTTGCCATACCAACTATAACGAGAGTAATCAATTAAGGTGGGCTATTATCAGGAGAAAAAAAAACTTTTATAGTGATAATCAGGATGGCCCATTTTTTTCAGGTGACTACAGTACAGCTGACTTTTACAAAGAAGTTACCTTCCAGTTACACAAATTCTTTCCACGTTTCAGAAAAAAAAATTCAGTTGCCTTATATGAACATTTCAGGTTTAATAACTGTGGTCTATAATAGGGTACCAAATTTGTGGCTGTTTGCCAACATTTTTTGTGTGTGTGGTAACTTTTAATAAAAGGAGAGAACAGTAATGGTGTGAAGGGAATGGGATCAAGTTACCAAGACACCTCCTCCTATGTTCTTTTGTGGTACACAGGTTTGAACATCTTTTTGTCTTATGAAATCATTCCACCTCTGGTAATTTATAGTCTTTTATTCTCCAGCTTCTACTCCTACATTGCACATTTAAAATGAATTTACATTTAAATCCTACAGTTTTGGGATCATTGTGTTATTCTGCCTTTGTGAACACTACTTTCCAAGCCTGGCAAGGAACAGAACAGTACAGAACAGAAATTATCCTATCCTTTGCCTTCATTTTGTTCATAAAGTAACTCTAGAAGTATATGTTTTCTCACCACACTCTCTGTGCTTGGGAATTTTAACTCCTTAATAAACACTTACTACCCAAATACCTTCACTTTTGCTAATAAATAGAACCTTTTAAACTATCGACATCTGCATCTTGAAGAAACTGGTGCCAACACTTATATCTTTACATTAAGACAATAAGAGCATGACTATACATTTGGGCCCTAATTCAATTACTACAATTTTACTGTTACTGGTGTAACTTCCCTGGACTATGATGGTATTGCACCAGCATAAAACTGGAGTAACACAGCAGTGAACTAGACTCTTAGCATCTTTGAAAGGCAAGGTCTTTAGAAGGCTCCAAATCTTTTTACGTTTATTCTCAAAACTACTTATTATACAATTATTTTTGCTACTCCTAGGCTGTCAACATTAACATTAGTTTGTATTTTAGGGCTTTACTGTACAATATCAGAGGATTCCATCTTACCAGGTTGACTTCTCTCAATCTTTATACAAAAATAAGGAACCTGAAAAATATAAAAACATACTTTTGCAATCTTCTCTGGGAAAGTAGGTACCATTCAAACATATTAAAATATTTCTGCTGAAACCCACCCAGAACACTTGCAATAATCAACACACCTGCAGTGAACAGGGAGATGACCTAGAAGAACTAAGAGGTTCACTCTCTACATTCTAAGGCTAGGTCTACACTACCCGCCTGAATCGGCGGGTAGAAATCGATCTCTCGGGGATTGAATTATCGCGTCTCGTCGGGACACGACAATCGATCCCCGAATCGACGCTCTTACTCCACCAGCGGAGGTGGGAGTAAGCGCCATCGACTGGGAGCCGCGGAGATCGATTTTGCCGCTGTCCTCACAGCGGGGTAAGTCGGCTCCGATACTCGAATTCAGCTACGCTATTCGCGTAGCTGAATTTGCGTATCTTAAATCGACCCCCCCCCCATAGTGAAGACCTGCCCTCAGACTCCAAAAACATTTCTCTAATAAAGAATCCCACTGCTACTAAGCTGATGTCATCCTGAGAAGCCCAATGCATTTGTAGCTTCTTCCAATTTCACACTGTGGCCTTCATGCATTTCCTCTGCCTCTTAACTTTCTCTCTTCCTGCCAACTTTTTCTACACAAAACTATCCTTCATATTTTTTTTTATTCTCCTCTTTAAAACTTTTTTGAGAAGACAAAACAGTTAGATCACATGGATTTCTGCTTGAGACTCTACACCAGCTTTATATGGTTTAATCAAATGTTGTGAAGTGATTGGAAGGCATTAGATGAGCAGTGCTGTACAACATAACCACATGGTTTGGGTTTATACCAGTTAAAAATTAACTGGTACCTCAGGTTGAACTGAGGGCCTCTTACAAAGCCCTAAGAATACATAGCTCCATCATGCTCATTTTACCCTACCCTTTAAAAGAAACCCTCACTGACTGGTACACAGCATCTTAAATACCCATGGTACTATTGAATAATAAGTCAGTGTCAAAAAGATAACAGGGTCCCACCTCTAAGGGTTTACAATCTAAAGGTACAAGCAAAGAATGCCAGACAAAACCAAACAGAGAATGCAGCATGGCCATTTCATGTTAAACACTTAACTGAACAGTTGGGTTTTCAGTACACCTCTACCCCGATATAATGCGACCCGATATAACATGAATTTGGATATAATGCGGTAAAGCAGCGCTCCAGGGGGAGTGGAGAGAGGCTGCATGCTCCAGCGGATCAAAGCAAGTTCAATATAACGCGGTTTCACCTATAATGCGGTAAGATTTTTTGGCTCCCGAGGACAGCGTTATATCGGGGTAGAGGTGTAACTTCTTGAAGATGTTTTTTCCAGTAATTCCTTGGCATATAGTGAGAGACTATTCCAGGCACTCACTGAGGAATGGCTGAGCCAGGAACAAGCAGAGACAAATGGGCAGAACACAAGGGAATATGTGAGCAGAGGACAGAGACTGAGAGGGGACAGAATTATGAGAACTAACGTTCTATTCCAGTACTTCTACTGTACTTCATACTCCACTTTTCCTAAATAAGTCAAGATGGTGTATCTACTAATCTCACTATCAGCCCTCAGCCACCATAGGGAATATCCTCTATAACAGTGGTTCCCAAAGTTTTTAGTAAGGTGACCCACCAACTGCATGTTCTCTTTTTGGGGGGGTAAGGGGAGAAGGGTAGGAGGAGGAGAAAAGGTGGAACACTGCTCTGGAAGAGTGGGGAAGGGAAATGGGATTTTATTATTCAGGATGCTACTATAGCCAAATATCATGCAACAGTAACAGTTCACTAGGGATGTGTTTAAACTGTCATATTTTTTTTTTTTTTAAAATGGGAGATAGCATTGAATGTTTAAACACAGTATGAGGAGCCAGGAAATTTAGTTCTAATCCAAGTTCTGTCACTGGTTTGCTTGTGTTCTATATTTCCTGTATTCATCTACTCTCTCTTGCCTTACAGGAAGACTGTAAATTTCTGAAGGAAAAGATTGTCTTTTTTATATGTTTGTACAGCAACTAGCACAGTGGGGATATAAAAAGAACAGGAGTACTTGTGGCACCTTAGAGACTAACAAATTTTTTGAGCATAAGCTTTCGTGGGCTACAGCCCACTTCATCGGATGCATAGAATGGAACATATAGTGAGGAGATATATATACACACATACAGAGAACATGAAAAGGTGGGAGTTGTCCTACCAACTCTAAGAGGCTAATTAATTAAGAGAAAAAACTTTTGTAGTGATAATCAAGATAGCCCATTACAGACAGTTTGACAAGAGGTGTGAGAATACTTAACATGGGGAAATAGATTCAATGTGTGTAATGGCTCAGTCATTCCCAGTCTCTATTCAAGCCTAAATTGATATGTCTAATTTGCATATTAATTCAAGTTCAGCAGTTTCTCGTTGGAGTCTGTTTTTGAAGCTTTTCTGTTGCAAAATTGCCACCGTTAGGTCTGTTACTGAGTGGCCAGGGAGACTGAAGTGCTCTCCTACTGGTTTTTGAATGTTATGATTCCTGATGTCAGATTTGTGTCCATTTATTCTTTTGCTTAGGGACTGTCCGGTTTGGCCAATGTACATGGCAGAGGGGCATTGCTGGCACATGATGGCATCTATCACATTGGTAGATGTGCAGGTGAACGAGCCCCTGAGGGCGTGGCTGATGTGACTAGGTCCTATGATGATGTCACTTTAATAGATATGTGGACAGAGTTGGCATCGGGCTTTGTTGCAAGGATAGGTTCCTGGGTTAGTGTTTTTGTTCAGTGGTGTGTGGTTGCTGGTGAGTATTTGCTTCAGGTAGGGGGGCTGTCTGTAAGAAAGGACAGGTCTTTCTCCCAAGATCTGTGAGAGTGAGGGATCATCTTTCAGGATAGGTTGTAGATCTTTGATGATGCGCTGGAGAGGTTTTAGTTGGGGGCTGAAGGTGACCGCTAGTCTATGACTAGGGCCCCTAAGCACTACCACTATACAAATAATAAATATATCTACCAGCCATACGTTTACCGTGCAATTTTTTTAAAAAGCTGCAGAAAGTTAAAAAGGACTATTCTACTGTTATTAAATATTAGCCTGATGTAGTTTTCTATCTTACTGTGAAACCCCATCATAACAGAAATTTGTCCACCCATCCCTGACTTGCTAAGAAAGTAACATCACCAATTAATTTTGATGCCTAGTACCTTCCTTTTCTGCTCATTCTGAAACCGTAAGTTTAAATTCTAACCAAATGTTTTGCGTTTAGCCAGGAAAACGCTAATAAAAATGCAGCTGTCTTCTTTAGGAACTTTTTAAAACTATAAATACCAGGAGACAATTATTACATTTAACTTAAGTGAGAGCTTCTAAATAAAGCCAAGGTCTGTCTCATCTTACGCGGGGGTTCCGTTCTGCGGTTAGCGCGTAAAGCGAAAACCGCGTATAGCCAAAACCCCATTGAGTTCAATGGCGGGCGAAATCGCCCGCACTACAGGTATAGTATTAAAATTGTTGTATTTCTCTTTTTTTTTTGTTTTGTTTTTGCCAACCGTGTAAAGTTGAAATCGCGCATGTTAAATGCGCGTAAGATGCGACAGACCTGTATGGTATATTGTAAATTAAAAGAGCTTCAGTTAAATATTCTTTTATCAGCAAAGAGACAATGGATGTTTCTTGTTGCCTTGGGGTTGTTAGATTTTTAATCCAATTTCAGTGTTAAATGTAAATGGTAGTATTTGTGTTTACCTGTTCTACTGACTGTACTTTTGTTCAAGCCCAAAATGTGATGAATTAAAAGGATATAATCCTGCAGAAGAATCAATTTTTGTAACAGAACAAGTCCACAGCTATGCAAATCTTTACATTATATTATATTCATTTTATATATACAAAGTTAATATTTCCCTGTGGTCATGTCTAGTTCTTTTTTCTATAATCACATTCGAATTTGACTATATCAATGCCGATTCACGTAACAAAAATCCAGGCCTAAAACTAAGCTCCTAAATTCATATTCCGACACCCAGCTTTGGTCAAAAAGAACTATATGCAGTAGACCAAATTCATTTTTGTTGTATCTTCAGTGAAGTCAATGTGTTTTCAATATGTTGAAAAAGGCAACTAAAAGGAAAGGGAATATAACAGATTACGTTTTTGCAGAAGCAGGATCACCAATGGAATGCAAAGAGGCAAATGCAATTTTAGTCTGGTAGGCAATTCTTCCTGATCCTCTATGAGCTCTATATATCTACTGAGTAATCTCATTGCATAAAAGTTATTCAAAAGTGAAGCAAAACAAAGCAGAAAATATATTGTAGGAAACAATTCAACAGCTGCAGGGGAATTTACCGGTTAGTACAATGCTGGTTTGTCTACACCTAACTTCCGATAGTTTTAATAGTAATGCCCCATTCTTGTAGTCATGTAGGTCCCAGAATATTAGAGAGAAAAGGTGGGTGAGGTAATAACTTTTATTGGACCAACTTCGGTTGGTGAGAAACACAAGCTTTCAAGCTACGCAGGTCAGACCTGAAGAAGAGCGCTGTCTAGCTCAAAAGATTGTCTCTCTCACCAACAGAAGTTGATCCAATAAAAGATATTATCTCGCCTACCTTCTCTAAGTTTTAACAGTGGGAGATAGAACTATTTTTGGATGGTATTTGATTCTGAAATGGGGGGAGGGTCCTGAAGTGTTTTCAGATGACAGAGATGGACCTTGACAAATGTTAAATCAGAGACATTATAGGGTACAATTAAAGAAGGCACAAAAACTAGAGGGGAAGGAAACAAAGCTTAGATTGTGGACAAACCATAAGTAGTATAGGAGAAGAAAGACAGCGCTGGAGTTATGGAGAATTTTAAAGGGATAAAAACTTGATACATGAGGGAAACCAGTGTAAAGATTCAAGTGGCGGGGGGGTGGGGCTGGGGGGGGCATTGTCAGTGCTGAAGGAGAGTAAGGTAGACTTGGCAACTGGAAGGAGAGATGGAAGGGAAGGCAAGCCAGGAACCTTCAGTGGTGCAAATTAGGCCCTGGCAGTTCCTTCTGTAACATTACTTGCTGTCAGATAAGAGGAAATGAATTTTCTAAGTGTTGAAGCAAAGAAGCTCAAAGTGCATGGGTGATTATTCCCTATACTTGAGAGGAATTGTATTTGTCTCCACCATGAGAGCTATTGCACAGAAGATTTCCTTGACGCTCTGTTAATTTCCTTTATCATCAGACTGGAACTTTTTGTAAATACAGGCGTCAAGCAAGGTGATTCCAAGGAGTTCCCCATTTATCTTTTCTTTATTGTTAATTAATTTATATGTTTTATCACATCTTCTTTCTCAAATAAACTATCCAATCTTCAAAGTTTCTCTTCACATGGGATATTCCATGCCCTTGATCCAGGCTTCTCTGAATGCCCTCTAGTTCTGCAGTAGCCTTTTGAGACTGGGTGACCAATACTGTACACAGTACAGACCACACCATGGGTTGATATATGGCCATTATCATATTCTTTGTATTATTCTCCATCACATCAGAACATCTTGTTTGCTATCTGACTGCAGATGTCCATTGAGCAGGGGTATGTATATATGGCGCTGTCTACAATGATGCCCAGGTCCCCTCTGAGGAGGTCCTTGTGGGAACAGGGAGACTTGCATGAAGTCACTGCCTCGCTCCCCCACCCAGCACAGAGCAATAGGCTGGTATCTCATTCCCCCTCCCCCCCCTAATTTGCAAGCTTTACCTGCGCAATTTGATTTCTTTCTACAGGACTCGTGCAACCGGGAACACAGGACCCCGCTGCCCGGACCAAGCTGGGTGACTATGAACAAGCGTCAACCCGGGGGCGACATGGCACCCGTTTGGCTGAAGCGATGCGAGGCTGGAAGCGGACAATCTGGCGCTGGTTTGGCGGCGCTTCTGGCGCGGCCAGGGCGAAGAGCAAAGAGCCCGGCTCTGTCTCGCGTTACAGGCGCCCCAGGGGTAGGAGGAGCCGCGCTACCTCCCCCGCTGACCTCCGGGCCCACAGCGAGCCCAGCCACCCCCGAGCCCCGGCTGCGCTCAGCGCGGCAGGGCCTGGCCACGGCTGTGCCCGCTGGGACGGTGAGCGCTACCGGGGCCTGTCGGCAGAGCCAGCCGCTGCCGCCTTCCCGAGCCCCAGGGCCTCCCCCGGGGCACCGGCAGAGCGAGCGCGGCCCTGCACCCGCCCCCGCGGGAGCAGTGACAGCCCGCGCCGCCGCTTACCTCGGGCGCAGGCGGGGGGCTCGCAGGCGCTGGCGGGCCGCGGTGCCGGAGCAGCCGAAAGCGCGGGGGGCGGAGGAGGGCGGCTCTTAACATGGCGCCGCCCCGACTGCCGCCCACAGCGCCGCCCCGGGACCACCGCCGGAGACCTGCCTCCTCCGCCTGCCCCTTCTCCCCCACTGCCACCGCCCCGGCCCCTTCCTGGGCTGCCCCCCCCAGTCTCCACACCCCGGGGACACCGCCCCGCCCCTTCCAGTGCTGCCCCCCACAGTGTCCCCTCAAGGGCTGCCCTCCCCCCGGTGCCAACATCCCCCTTCCAGGACTGCCTCCCCCCCACAGTGTCCACATCCCAGGGACCCCCCCACTGCCTATTCCAGGGCTGCCTCCTCCCTCCCCACAATGTCACTGCCCTGTTTCCCCCCTCCCCCCACACACACTATCTCCTCCAGAGCGCCAGTAGTGCCTCCCTTACTTCTGCGCTGCTGCTGTCATCCCAGGGCTGAGAGACGGAGCCTTACCACCTCCAGGTGATGGATTGGGGGAGACAGAGATCCTGAGCCCAGGCTTCCTCCCAGTGAGGGATAGGTTGGGGGAGGAGAGCCCAGGCCTGGGTGGTGGGACTCCAGCTGTCCCTTTTAATCCCACCTCTCGTGTGCACGTCTCTTGTGCACGAGCCCCAGCCACCTGGGGCTGACTGCCAGAATTCTGCAAAAAAAGAGGAAAAAGCATGGAGTTCTCACCTTCCTTGAAATATTCCCACTCCTGCCTTGGGAGACCCACCCCATAGTTTGAGAAGCGCTGATTTAGATGGAAAATAGGGACCAAAGGGTGTTAACATAACCCAGTCACTGTCCAACGTTAAACAGTGTTAAACAAGGTTCGGGATTTGGACAGAGACCTCAGTCTGCTTAGTACCATGGCAAACATCATTAAACATCCTTTTAACCTTTTACTAAAGATAAAGAAAGGAAGGAAAAACACTTAGAACATTTGAAATGTAAAGTATTAAATAAGGCTTTCATTTTAACAACATTCCTTATTCCTTTTCCCTTTATTGGGGGAGAGTTTTTAGAAGGAAAATCCCCTAGTTTGACAGTGTCTTAGATGGTGTCAAAGATGGTAATAACTGTCCTTTTGGATTAAAGAGAAGTTAGTTGAGATGAGCTGTTATTGTTAAAGTCCATTCCTATTTCATCTTAGATGGTGTTTGGGATTCAACTGGAGCTGGTGGGGTGGTGATGTCATCTGGGTCCTTCTCTCTGGCCTGGTCAGGACATTTCTCAGGATCAGGATGACAAAAGCCTGGGGTCCCAGGAAATGGTAGGTGTGGAACCCATGATGGTGAAGTTCTCTAGTAGCCTCTGACTGGTCTTCCACAAGATTTCCTTAAGGACTCCAAAAAGGGAGTGATGGTTTGAATAGCCATTCCCCTCATTTGTTAGCCCATCAATTAAGTCTAGTTTCTGATACACCAAATTTGGTTTACTGTTTTCCAGACCCACAATTTCTTGTTTACCAAGCAAGCCTGATCTCAATACAGTTCTTGAGTTATATCACTAGGCCCCTTTTTGGGGGCTAATTCAGTTTGTCTGGTTTTCTTGCATCTGTTTATAACATTATTAAAAATAACTTGACCTACTTTTCATGGTTAATTCCCAAGCAGGCAAAAAGTTATAGGCCCAATTGTCACTCCTATAGGCACATTAGACACATTTGCAGTATCGTTTATTATAGAATTTTCAAAAAAAGCTAAAAGTAATTTTTTTGTCTCTGTGATGGGGTGGACTAGGCCCAGAGGCCCCCTACTGGAGGCCTCAGGGTCCTGCCACACCCATCCCAGGAAAGGAGAAGTAGAGAGGTCCTCCTAGCGGGCTAGAGTGACTGCAAGGGAAGCAGCCAATGAGAGGGGCTGCAGGGAACAGCCAATCAGGGCCCAGCAGGACCGTATAAAAGGAGCTAAAAGGCTGGACAGAGTGAGTTGTGTCTGGTAGCAGAGATTGGAAGAAAGAAGAGGTGCTCCTGGTTGGCTGTAAGGGCTAAAGCAGGTAGTTACTGGTAGGAACCATGGGAGCAAGGACTGAGCTGGCTGCTGGGCCTCAACTAAGGTGTGCTGTGGGGAAGTGGCCCAAGGAAACATAAAGCAGCAACTAATAAAGGGGTTCAGCATGAGGCTGCTATACTTAAAGGATCCCTGGGTTGGGACCCGGAGAGGTGGGTGGGACCAGGTCCGCCCACCAGCCACTGTCGGGAAGTGGCTAGGCCCTAGGGAAGAGAATTAGAATTGTGGCACCCCAGGGAAGGGGGCTGCACTGGAACTGACTCAGCAGGGAGGTGTGATCAGTGAACTGAGTCCAAGAGGGGTGGAAGGCTGGGGTCTCTGAGGACTCAAGTAGAGGTAAAGAGTCCCTAGGAAAGAAGCCCTTGGGATGCTGCTCAATTCCAGAATAGGAGCCTTGCAACCTGGCTTAACCAAGCGAGGGTACCGTGATGGACCCTGTTGGACTGTTTTAGAAGACTGACCCCAGGGACGGCTGCTGGACACTGAGGACATTTTGGATTGTGTACCGTGAAACGGGTTTGTTTGTTTGTTTTGTACATGAACTGAGTGTGACACGGCTGAAGGGCTGTCACCAAAGACCCGCCTGACAAGTGCAATGGCCGATGGGGCACCATGAGTGAAAGAAATTGAGGAAAAACTGCAGGCACACACAAACTTAATGAGTGCATCCCATTACAGTCTCTAAAACAGTTTTTCCGATTCACCTCCAATTTGGCAAGAGAAACAATTCTCCTATGAGAAGAGACTGCAATGAGAAACTTCTAAAAAAAAATTATTTTTTTAAGAAAATACAAAAATAAAGTACACAATGCAATGTTTTTTATAAGAACGGCCATACTGGGTCAGACCAGTGGTCCATCTAGTCTAGTATCCTGTCTTGTAACAGTGGCCAATGCTAGGTGCTTCAGAGGGAATGAACAGAACAGGTAATCATCAAGTGATCCGTCCCCTGTTGCCCATTCCCACCTTCTGGCAAACAGAGGCTAGGGACACTATCTTTGCCCATCCTGGTTAATAGCCATTGATGGACCTATCCTCCATGTATTTATCTAGTTCTTTTTTGAACCCTGTTATAATCTTGGCCTTCATAATGTCCTCTGGCAAAGAATTCCATAGGTTGACTGTGGGTTGTGTGAAGAAATACTTCATTTTGTTGGTTTTAAACCTGCTGCCTAATACTTTCATTTGATGACCCCTAGTTCTTGTATTGTGAGAGGGAGTAAATAACACTTCCTTATTTACTTTCTCTACACCAGTTACAATTTTATAGACCTCCATCATATCCCCCCTTAGTTGTCTCTTTTCCAAGTTTGGAGATACATCTTTCACTTACCATACATTGTGTTTTAATCAGTGAAACAGAAAATATCTTGTAGTTTTGATCTTTTTTCAATCTACATTGATTGTGCAGTATGTCTTTGGGTTTCCACTGTCTTGTCTTCTGGTTTCTATTTCTTATCACCTTGATCGATCACTCCTTCAACCCTCATACAGATTGCGCCAATCACAACATGTCTTCCATTCTTCTCTTATCCTGATCTTCCTTCTCCATGTGCGGCCATGCCTTTTCACAATAAAATCTTCCCATCTCTTTGGAGGTCAGCCAAGTGGTCGTTTCAGTTCCTGTGGGTACCACTTGGCTACAGCTGCAGTCCATCGATTGTCAGTGAGTCTAGCTATATGCCCGGCCCATCGCATTTTACTGAACCTGCTTTCAACAACGACATTCTGCACTCCACTCTGCTGTCTGACCACTTCTTTGGGGACTCAGTCGCAGATTGAAATCCCTAAAATTCTTCTTTCCATCACCCTCTCTGTGACAGACAGTTGTTGCTCCTCAGTGCCCATGTTTTGCTGCCATACAGCATTGCCAGCAGTACTGTTGAGTTGAAGAGGTTGGCACATGTTGCCTTGTTGATTTTTTTCCTTGGAAGCCATCCTTGATAGAATTGAATGCATGCCAACCAGCTTTCTTTCTTCACGAGAGTTCACCTTCACAAGAGCATGTTAATTTCTTGGCTCAAATAAACGCATTGCTCAACTTCTTCTATTTGTTCTCCCTTGACTATTTTTTGGGCTTTTGGCAAGGCATCAGACCGCACACATTTTGTTTTAGAGCGGTTAGTTTTCAGTACAACTTGGCTGCTTTTTGTGTTGAGTTCTTGCAGCATTTTCTGTAGTTTGATAGTGTTTTCAGCAATCAACACGATATCGTCCGCAAATCTGAGGTGGTTTAACTGCTGTCCATTGACGAGAGTTTCGGTGAAACCGTGTCTCCTTGCTTCACACCTTTTTTGACTGGGATGCGAAGGGGAGTATCGAACAGCTATATCCGTAGTACAATCAGTTTGCTTCCTTTAGTAGTTTGATGTAGTTTGTGTCGATGCCCTGTTCTGCAAGAACTTTCAGCACTGCATTGATCTCTATGCTGTCAAATGCTTTTTCATAGTTGACGAAGGCAATGCATAAAGGGAATTTGTATTCCCTTGTGCTCTCCAATAGCTGGTTTATAGTGAAGCTATGGTCTATTGTGCTGAAATTCATTCGAAAACCTGCCTGCTCTCTTGACTGCTGCTCGTCCAGACTCTGTGAGACTTGGTTTGTTACTATTTTGGTGAACAGCTTGTAGACATATGAAAGCAGGCATATTGGACAATAGTTCTTTAGAACTTCACGATTGCCCTTCTTGTACAGCAAAATGGTGTTGGACTCCTTCCAGCTAGATGGTATGTTCTGCATTTCCAAGTAACGACTAAACCTCTGAGCAAAGGTTTCACAGAAGTCTTGGCCTGCAGCTCTTATTTTGGTTGTCAGTCAATCTTTTCCTGAAGCTTTTCCTTCATTCATTTGATAAACTGCATGTTGAACTTTGTTCTACGGCGGTGGTGGAGAGCTCAATCAACGAAAGGCTGCTAAGAATCTCAGGAGCCAGAAAAAGGGCTCTCAGTGTGTACCTACAACTACAGGACACTGACGAGAGATGACTCAATCAACTTTTTTTTTTATAGCACAAATTAACTCTCAATTTGGGGTGTGTGAAATGGT